TGAAGTGCTTGCCGATTTAATTGATCATTAACTGCTTTTAAAACTTTCGGATGACGATGACCAACACTAAAATATTACCAGACAAAACAAATAAGAATTAAATTTTTATTTAAAATTGTTTTGTGTCTCTTACTTGTAAATTCCATATCCGCCTAAACAATCAATATATTCAATACCTTTAACACAAGTAAATGTTGAACCACTATCAGCCCACTCAACTAAACCAAAAAACAAAATGAATCGCTTGTTTTTTTCCCCAAATAATAAACTTACCAGCTACATAGTCAGGTGAAAATGATTTACGATATTGTAAGAAACCTGGATTAATGTATAAATTAAAATTTTCCACGGTTTCATCGATTAATTGTTTCTTTTCTATATAAAATAATGAATTGAATATTATTAGCAAAATAAAAATGAAAATAAAAAATTCTATCTTACCATCATCATTTAAATTGCGTTTAGCGATAAGATTAAGAATATGTTGTGTTTGTTGAGTTATATCACTCTTCATTGTTTTAATTTTAATTATTTAATCGTAGTTGATGATTATAAATTGATATATTAAGTTTAATACGTTGTCGTTTATAATTACGATATGAAGGGCCACCAATTGTCGATTGAATATTATTGTAAAAGGGTTCTGTATAAACTTTCACCATCAAGCAAAGTGACTTTCCGTCAAAGCTCTTTTCACCCGATTTGTTAAATGACTGATATAATAAGAAAGAAATGAGTACTATGAATTCCATCGTTTAATTCTCGTGTATATATACAATTTCAGATAAGAAAGAGAGAGAACTATCTGTCGATATTTGCATAGCCAAAAACCATTGTGTGAAGAATTGCACCTGGCCAAAATCACAGAGAATGACGGACTATAGCCCTGTCAGAAACATTCGTTTCGAGAAAGAGAGAGTGAATAAGAGAAATAGATAAGTGCTCCAGAGGGGGAAAGAGAGAGAAAAGTAGCTTTGATATTCATCTCTCTCTCTCAAGCCTACGCATTTCTGATATTACACAATGATCCAGAAAGTTCGAATAATGTAGTATTTCTGTCATTAAACAGAGTTCATCAAATGAAAAGTATAACAATGACATGTAACGATTTCGTTCTCTTCTTACGTTCAGCTTTTCTTTTATGCTGAAAAAACGATTGCAAGCAAGAAGTCAACTAAATAAATATGAGAATAAAATACACAGGGTCACTTTTATTGTACTTTATAACTTAGATTTATTTAGTTAAGTTTTGCTTGGAATGATCCACAAAGAATATCATCACTGAAAATTTGAATACAACAGAAGAAATGAAAACGTCAAACAATTGATTGATTAAATAATGGTCTACTTTATTATATTAAAGGAATATTCTTATTAGACCTTGTTTTATGACATTCTCTCTATGTTTTATAGAAATAGTTCTGCTTCTTGTTTTTTCTCTCAGAAGTCCGTTTGATTGCAGTCAGTTAAGCAAGATTTGAAAGCGTAGTCAGGCTTTCAACATAATTCAACTGAAAAGTATTTTAAGACAAGATTAACATTGGTATTGACCGTTCAAAACTATGATCAGTTCTATTTACGAGTGGATTTATTATACATATGTTGAACCTTTTTTTACTCAGATGAGAATTGAATTTTCGGCAATACTTTTATTATGATTTGCAGAATAACAACCCTACATTGGACTAAGAAAAACAAATGTTTGCTTTGAATAATTAAAATTTCAGTTGAGCAAATCAACATCTCGATAAAACTTTGAAGAGAACTTAGCATGAAATTTTGGCTCATCCAAAGAGTAGTATTTTGGGTGTGGGTGTTCCCTTTAATAATACCCACCCCCACACCCTCTCGAATACATATTAGCTTGAATACACCAAAGTGGATACGGATATGTATAGGGTATGGTTGTGGCTGTGGATGTGGATGTGAGTCCAGAACAAAAAGATTAATACTAAACCTCACAACCACACCGACACCTACCATCACACCCTTCGTCACTTATGTTCACTACGGTGGCGACACGATGTACCTGTCTGTTATTCCAATTTGTTTTCTCCATTCGTCTTTCTTTTCCAACTGTCGTTCACTGTTATTTTGTTCTTTGGCTTTATTCTTCTCTCTTTCCTTTTGTCTCTCTTGGTTCGATGTGACTGTTGCTAATCTTTATTGTCTTAATTTCTACTTCTTATTCTTTTGTACATCTTTTTTTTCGAGTGTAAATCAATGTCGATGATCGATATTGCAGTCATTCGGTCAACTATTGACACGCTAAATTGTATCAGTAAAGTTTTGTGATCGTTCTCTTTCTCCTACATATATCGAAAAAAATACAATGATTAATCCATCTACGTGTCATATATTAATTCTCATAGTTAGTGGTATGCTCTAACGTTCTTGCTTTTTCTTCTAATTAGTTTCTTTTTATTACCTTCCCTCTTTCTCTCTCTCTCTCTCTCTCTCTCTCTCTCACGTATAGCATGTAAGAAAAAGAAGAAGCTGCACAAAGGAAGCGGATAGTGCAGTGGTAATATATTCTCTGACTCATACTAGTAAAAAGCTAAGGAGTCTTAACTAATACATTTTTTGTGCTTTTGTTGCTAAGACTAATAGGATACAGTCAGTTTTGTAGTCATTCTACTTTTCGAATAAGAAAATGAAAAATGAAAGCGTTCTGTTTAAGAGTTGGATAATACTAGTAGAACTAGTTTCCAAGAATGCTCATAAGTACACATTTTTGAAGATATGTAAGTTAACGCTTTCAGCCAAACTATTTTTACTCGATGTTACATTTAAGTTTAAGGTCTAATAAGACACAACTATGATTGTATTATTTAACCGATTATTCATACTATTCTCTATTATAAACAAATACCGTAGACATCATTTGACTGTACTCATTTCCAGCTGGGTGTGGATGTGATGGTTTGAGTATTAGAAGAGAACACATCCACATCCATAAAGGATATAAACAAAAATTAGCAAAATAGAACTTTATTACACTATAACTAGAGATCAACAACGTTATTTTTGTCATATAAATAATAAAAATTGCATAATTGTGTGTTTTTCTTGATCCAGTCATGATGACTTATTCTATTCGCATCTTGATCAATCGTTATGTTCGATAATATTGACATCCTATTGTTAAAAACTCGAGGCAAATCATTGAATGTATCAATTAACAGAGTCAGCTTTTCGACATGAGTAAAAGAGCGACAGAAGGCATCAATCTCGCACAAAGTCAGTGGTTCACTGCAGTCAGGAATGCTCATTGACAAGCCAAGACAAACAATGTTTGGTCATTGGTGAACGAAAAGTAACTTGAGTAGAACAGTCGATAGTTGTAGTGAACGTAAGCGAGGCAAACTGTACACAAAATTAACAAACAGATCATTCGACATATTCGTGTCACATCTAAAAGCAGAGAATGACGCGACGTGTGACAAGTCAATATGTTTAGTAGCATAATTGAGCTTTCTGATAAATCTAGTACCACAATCTGCTAACTGCAAACGCGTAATATGTGTAAATGAATGTAGAATTTCTATGTAGATTGGATTGTAATAGTCAGCCATTAGGTAGTTGACACGAGAAAATGATGTTGATGTTCGTTCTGTTGACGTAGTAATGATAGCATCTTTCATATACGGTAATGCATAATCATCAAGACAATAGGGATTTGAATAAAATAACGCGAAACCAGTGTCTATACATCGATCATATGTCACATGCCAATGTTTCTCTTCGAGCTAGAATGCAGTACCAAATGATGCGAGATCGATAGGTGGCTGCGTAAAGCTATTTTGATCGAAGATAAATTGGAACTGGAATGTCATAACTGTTTTTAACAATCGGGTCCATCTGTAGCAATCAGCCATATCATACTGTGCATTATTGGAGACGATTGTAAAATTGGTCCATTGTGTTATTGAATGGAACATATATTCGATTTCATCCAATGTAACAAAGTTCACTTTTATGGTTAAGTGACGCATTGGATGAGGTGAATATAGACGAGTATCAGGTTTAAATTGAAATAGTTGAGGCGTGGTATCTAATGTTTGTAATACAGGTGTCATTTCTAAGAGAGATTTCAACATCACACGAGTATCTTCCAGAGGCAGATGTTCGACCAACGATTTGTTTATTTTCGAACAAGGATCAACAATTAAAAAGTCGTCATCTCTGCCCAGTGAAAAATTTTAAGGATTTAATCAGAATTATTTTGCACCAAAATCAAAATTAAAATCGATTGAAATCTTCGATTATAATCGAAGATTTCAATCGATTTCTTGGAGCAAAATCATAACTATGATCGGATTGGTAATTTCGATTTTTCTGCAGAATAATTAGATTTTAATCGGGAAAATTTTCACTACATAAGCAATAGAATCAAGTTTTGATTCAATCATAGTCGATTATAATCAAAGATTTCAATCGATTTTAATTTTGATTTTGGTACAAAATAATTCTGATTAAATCCTTAAAATTTTTCACTGGGTAATCTGTACTTTCACAGAAAGATGTTTCAGCGTACGAGAATCATATAATAGTCTGCACAACAACTCCGATACCATCGATACATCTAAGGGTGTAGGTGTCGATATATATTTATTCGTGTGCACCCACACCCACCCATATCCACACCCACAGCCACATCCACACCCTTTCACCATTAGACAACCCGATTTGGCATACGTTCAAGAAGTCTGTTCGAAACCATTATCCAATTACAACTACAAATCTTTCATCATTACTTTCACAAACTTTTTATTCTTTATCTAGAGAACCAATTCGCAGTGCATATCGTAAATGTGCCGTCGTATATGGAACTGACGTATATTTTGATCCACCTTCTGTATAAATAGATATTTCTTTTTCATAACCCAGATGAAAGACAGATTGTAGTGAAAAAAGATACCATCTTTTCTTCTGACGTATTTTTTATTGCTTAATTTCTATTTTTTATTTATGGTCAGTCTATCATACGATGCAGCGAAATCTGTACTTTCTTTCTATATATCTATCATTGAAAAAACAACAAGCTATAATAGATTAAAATGAGAAATACGAAGGGACGGAGGGGGAAAACCAATTGAAGTGCACAGTAGATTTAAAGGATCTCCATTAAAGCAATAACTATTCTTTTCATCCTTAGTAAAGTTGCTTGAGAATGAAGATAATTGTTGCAGATATGCAAGTTGACGACAAGCACAGAGAAAAGGAGAAAATGTTTTCGTGAGGTTAGAAAGAAGACAATCACCTTGTTGTTTCTTATCATCACAGCATTTTTTTCTCCTATGCCTCTTAGTCTCTTATCATAAACACATACAGGGTGGCGCAAAAGTCAGTTAACAGAAGAAAAAATTGAAGATCTCCATTACGGCTCGAGTAAACGAGCTGACTTTTTTTCACTAATGATAGAGGCATGTTCAAGCTTTTATATCCATAAAGACATGCCTAGCGACACCCTTTGTTAAGTATATTGTTTTTTTTTCAATCTGAGAAGAAAGT